TTAGACGATAACTATACTCTGATTTCTCTCGATGTCGTCTCCCTCTTTACAAACGTTCCTCTAGACCTAGCGATTAACATTTCTGACAAATGGGAACACATTTCTAAAAAGTGCAATATTCCGAAGGAAGACTTCATTCAAGCATTCCGTCTTACCCTAGAATCCACATTTTTTAAATTTAACAACAAGACATACAAACAGAATTTCGGAACTCCGATGGGCTCTCCTTTGTCCCCCATCATCGCCGACGTAGTACTACAAGACCTCGAGACAAGGGCGTTACGAATGCTCGAATTTCGTGTTCCCTTCTACTATAGATACGTCGATGATATCGCTATGGCTGTTCCTTCCGACATGGTGGACTTTACCTTACAAACATTTAACTCCTTCCATCCACGCTTGCAATTTACCGTAGAGGTAGGACATAAAAAATTAAATTTCCTGGATACCACCATCATTCTCAATGATGGGTATATAGAATTCGACTGGTACCACAAGCCTACTTTTTCCGGACGATATCTCAACTTTTATTCGTGGCACCCTGTCTCACAAAAACGCGGATCCATCATGGGACTTGTTGACCGCGCTTTCCTTCTTTCTCATCCGAAATTTCATGCGGAAAATCCGAAATTTATTGTCATCATCCTTCTCGATAATGATTACCCTCTGGTTTTTATTTTTAACACAATCCATGAACGCCTTAGATTCCTTTTTGCAAAACAAACAAAAAAACAAACCTCCAACGAACAAAAAAAATAAACTGGTTTACTGTTCCATATTTTCCCTCCACCTCAGATAAATTTAGAAATATACTAAGAAATTCCGACTCAAAACTTTCCTTCTATAGCATTAATAAACTCCAGAAATTTATCAAAGTCCAGAAGGATGTTCTCCCTTTGTCATCAAAGAGCAACGTGGTGTACAAGATCTCATGCCATGATTGCGATGCATCATACGTAGGACAGACGGGAAGACAAGTTAAGACCCGAATATCGGAGCATCGCAATCATATTCACAGAAATAACACCACGAACTCGGTGATTACTGATCACAGATTGCAGCATGACCATGATTTCGATTGGGATAAAATAGAAATACTAGACCACGAAAGATACTATTATAAACGCCTTATCTCCGAAATGCTACATATAATACAACAAACTAATGGGTTAAATTTACAGTCTGACACAGATTACCTACACCACGCATATCTCTCCGCAGCAAACAATATATAATCTCACACTTCATTTATATGAATATACTATTTATGTTTTTATCTACCAACCCTTGACCTACGAAAAACTCAGTTCCGTCTCAGTTCGTGTCTAATCTCTGTACCTATGACACGTTTCACTCGCGAAGTCCGGAACACTCAATTTTATAATATCGACACCATTTTTTAATTTATACTTTATACTGTTTTAATTTATACAAATTTATACATATTTACTTTTTTAACTTCGGGACTCAGTGTGATATTGCGAACGACCATGTCCTTCCACCGAATGC